AGCAGTATGCTCCCTCCCATATTTGGGCATACCAGGGGTTGTGACACAATACATACCTATTTCCCTGGCTTAGCTGATAAAGGAGAAGAGCCTGTGGCTTAGTGGCTAATGTAACTGCCTAACATGTAATACAGCCCAGGTTCGATTCCTAGTAAGGGTATGGCTAGGTGATGAGAACGAAATAGCTTAAAATAGATATATACTAGACTCCCATTATTTATTTATCAGCACAATTGCAACACAAATGTAACAAGGCAACATAAAAAAATGGCTTTTTGCCTGGTGAGCCAATAGACAGAAAAGGGAAGCAGTATGCTCCCTCCCATATTTGGGCATACCAGGGGTTGTGACACAATACATACCTATTTCCCTGGCTTAGCTGATAAAGGAGAAGAGCCTGTGGCTTAGTGGCTAATGTAACTGCCTAACATGTAATACAGCCCAGGTTCGATTCCTAGTAAGGGTATGGCTAGCTGATGAGAGCTAAATAGCTTAAAATAGATCTATACTAGTCTCCCTTTATTTATTTATCAGCACAACTGCAATGCACACACACACACACATTTGTATATATATATATATACACGTACACACACACACACACACACACTCACATACCCTATCAATATATATCTGTCTGCACAGTCTTTTATTGTTGCTGCCCCTATGGTATGGAACATGGCTTGCTTTTATTGCAATACTTGGTGAATTTCCAGCTGTTCTTTCTTTGATGCAGTGTTATAGTGGGAACCTCAAACATAACCATTGTCCTGAAAGTATGGTAGGGAGGGGTTCAGAGTTTTAGTATTCTCTTCCGCTACATCATTTTGCAGATGGTTTATTTCAGTGCTTCTGGGACCAATATAACTGGCATGGTTCTGTAGCTCTCTGTTAAATATAAAAAGGAACTGCTTATTTCCTTTTCCCCTTTCTCTTCTTTCTGAAGCATTTCTCTTTCAAAACTGTTTCCCTTCAAACTATTGTTCCTTTTGTAAAGAGGGGAAACACACACATGCACACACAGACACCCATAGCCTTTTAAATAGAACTTTGCCTGTTTATTCAAGAGTGATAAATTACTCCAGGCAATACCTGGTCCTTTATCCATCGTACCACTTATGCTCTAGAGTCTAGAAGGTCACTTGTAACATTTCCCAGTTTATTAGGCTTTTTGTTTTCATTGTCATTTTTTATAACTGTCTGGTTTGGCATAGGAACCAAACAGGACAGGTACAGATTTCTAATGATGGTTAGGACTGCAGAAAAAAACAATTGCAATCAGCCCATCTTCCATTGAGGACCTGTATACTGCTTGAGCCAGAAACAGGGCTAAGAAAATATCTACAGAACCTTCACATCCTGGACATAAACAGTTTCAACTCCTTCTCTCAGGATACCGCTATACAGCATTGCATACCAAAACAACTAGACCACGGATGTCAAACTTGAGACAGCACATTGCCATCACATGATGTTCCGTGACATTTTTCCCATTCACGGAGCTGGGGTGGGCATGACCTACGCATGATGCATCTGGCCTGCAGACCACCAGTTTGACAACCTTGAACTAGACACAAAGACAGCTTTTTCCCTCACACCACCACTCTGCTGAACACCTAATTCCCACAGCACTGTCTTATGCCTATTGCCTAAGGACATTTACCACCTGTAGTAGGGCAGTATTGCTATTATTTTTCTCGTATTTCCTATTACCTTCTCCTGTTGATATCTTACAAACTTTGTGGCTTGTATCTTATGATTTATGACTGTATGTTATCATTTACATTTTATTATTTATCACTATGTAGTTTTTAAAGCTTATGCGCCAGGAATAAATCCCTTGTGTGTCCAATCACACTTGGCCAATAAACAATAGAGAATTCTTTATTGGCCAAGTGTGATTGGACACACAAGGAATTTGTCTTTGGTGCATATGCTCTCAGTGTACATAAGGAGAATAAAAATACATTCATCAAGAATAAAAATATACAACAATACTATATATTCTATTCAAGCATTCAGCATTTGACAATTTATTATCTGTTTGAATTATTTTTCACTGCATGTTATGATAAAAAATGTGTATTGAGCAACTTATTTGAAGAATTATATTTTTTGTAGTTACCTGGCAAGATCCCCCTAAATTTCTCAATGTTCATGCTAAATAATATATAACAAACAAGTCAGGGAAAATTTAAAGATGCTGACATTGGGCATTAGTCATTTTAAGAAATGACTATTTGAAAATAAATCTCACTAAGCAATTGGGGTCATGGAAAAGGGTTTGTTTTTACTTATAAAAACTTATTATAAATGTAGACAACTTTGTGGAAGTTTATTCAATCAAATACATACATTTCAAAGGATATAGTATTTGCTGAGTAATAACAATGCAGAACCAGGGCATGCGATAAATATCTAATTTGATCCACATCTATTCAGAAGACCAAAAGGATTTTAGGGGTTGCCATTTTAATGCATTTGAGTTTCTTTTTACTAGATTCATTTAGATAAGTCTCAAAACCCATCACTCTACATCATATTTTTAAAACTGTCAAATTCGGATAAAGTCCAGGCCGGAAGATCACAGCTACCACAGCAGCTGTGACTGCTACTACTACATTTTAAGCCAGAATGTCCATTAGTTACATTTTAGTATGATTTATTAACATCCTGCTTTTAAATGTTTCCTCTGTGAGACATACATACATACATACATACACACAAATGCATCATTGTGCTAAAGTAATATTGTACTGTAGATTTTATTGACCCATACACCAACAGGGAGTCCCCAGTCAGAATAAAAATCCATTCTTGTAATTTGCAAAGTATTTCAAATTGTTCATGTACAAACATATTCCAAAATAATGGCTGGAACTTAACAGCCATAACAGTTTTGCTGATATAGTGTATTATACTATAAGTACTGTAATTAACTATTTTTGCTTTTATTGCTTAAATGCTTTAAAAATTTTGTTAGAATTAATAACACATAAATAATATCTACAGTATCATGTGTTATATTAATATCACAATACTGGTAAGCTTCTATACAATGATTTTATGAGGATGCAAGACAAATGGTCTGCTTTAAAAAATCTAAATGAGTTTCTTTCAAGGAGGAATGTGAACTGAATATTTAAAAGCCAATATTTATAATAATTTGGTTTAGATATTAGTTTTAAACATACTATCTACATCAGTGGTTCCCAAACTTGGCAACTTTAAGACTTGTGGACTTCAACTCCCAGAATTCTCCAGCCAGCTCTGCTGAATTGAAGTCCACAAGTCTTAAAGTTGCCAAGTTTGGGAACCACTGATCTACATAATAAGAATGCACAAAGTCTGCGAACACAGCGCTGCATACATCCAAATTGCCAGGTTGTTTCATTGAAAATTTAATATATTGATGGATATTTTTTTTTGCATAAATGAAATCTAGTGAGGTGTTGGTCTAAGACCAATACAAATGCACCCTCAACCTTGAGAATTTGTTGGGTGACTTTGGATCACCAAGACTTTTCAGTCCACCTCCTAGATAGAATTCTGCAGTGCAGCAGTGACTGACATTCAGGCACCACAATGATATTCTATAATGACATTTCCCAACACTTTACCAACACCAGTAGTTACATCAATTTCTTACATAGCTAGAAGATTAACTGAAAATATTTGAAAAGCATGGAAAGTATGTTATATGGGCACTTATTAATTAGGAATTTAAGCTGAGTGTCTTATTTTGAGAATTTGGAAGTCTCTCTCTTCCTATGTAAGTTTTGAGCCAAGCACATTATTTTTCAGTATATGTTCCCTCTCTATGGAATAACCTACCCCCAGATAGATGGATGACATTTAGGAAAGTAGCCATAATGGAGCTTTTCAGCAGAAAGGCCAAATTTGTTTTTCGGTGGGAAGGGGAGGGTTATGCTATTTTGCTCATTGGCACACCAGGATAGCTTACATCAGCATTGCTTTTAGATATGTTGCATGTATACTTGTAAACTGCTGAAACTCCATGTCGAGTCAGCAATAGATAAATCAGGAAAATGTCATTCATTGTTCAACAGTTCTTTTTTAACATTCAGAATTGTCAGTTGATGGTTTTTTTTTACAGAATTAGATGGGCACTGCCCTTGGGGTGCATGAATACAGAGAAGTAATTATCCACTTCTTCCTGAAAAAGGATCTCTGTAAATACCTCCCAGAGGAGCCTGACACAAGTGCTGGAGTGTTTCATTTCCCCTTCCCCACATTGTGTTTTCAAATAATAAAGAAAAAAATGAATATTATGTTTAAAGACACCTACTACCTCCAGCTCTGTTTGCAGATTCTCACCTGCCTTCCCAAATTTAGCAGCAGTGTTGTAAATCACAAATGAAGAAAGAGTCTCCCAAATAGTACTGCATTAGCAGCCTTTAATGCATGTTCATTTCAGAACCAAAATCAATTAAGGCCAATCATAGGATGCAGGGCATACTTTAATGCCAAACCAAAATACAATATTTATCAGTTCCACATCCTTACCTTGTGGAACAGCTTCTGAAGGACAAACTGAAACAAAACACTCCTTTGTGATTATTTAACAAGCTTTTTAGAAATAAGGAAATTCCATTACGGAAATAATTCAGCATTTGATCTAAGTGTGTTTTTCCTAAATATTGTGTGGGGTTATACTACGAAGATACCTGTACTAATCAGATAATTGAATAGTTTTGTGCTCAGAAAAGAACAATGTCTACACATGTTCATCATTCGCTCTGTAACAGACAGCAGAAGCAAATGGATGAAAAGCATGAAGGCTTTATTCCCTGTACATACGTTATTACTGCTGTCTAACTTCATCTCTTAGGCAAATTGCATCCCGGAGGGAAAAGGGACAAGGGTGGTAAAATACTTTAAAGTGTAGTATGCAGTGACGTGTGGTGAGGTTTACGGTTGGTGAGGCAAGAGCGCAGCGGTGAGAAGCGTCCCCGCAGCTGTCTCCGACAGAGGCGTCTTGCGTTTATGTCCACCATAGACGCCAGATGCCTCTGTTGGACAGAGCGGTGGGGATGGAGGAGGCGGGGGGTGAGGCAGCGGGGCGAGGCGGTGGCGAGAAGCAGCGTCCCCACAGCCGTCCCCGACAGAGGTGTCTCATGTTTATGTTTGCCATAGACGCGAGATGCCTCGGTTGGACACAGCGGCGGGGATGGAGGAGGCTGGGGGCGAGGTGGTGGTGTGCGGTGGCAGCGAGAAGCAGCGTCCCCGCAGCTGTGCCCGACAGAGGCGTCTCGCATTTATGTCTGCCATAGACACGAGATGCCTCTGTTGGACACAGTGGCGGAGATGGAGGAGGTGGGGGCAAGGCAGCAGCCAGCAAAGAAAGGGGAGAGGAAGAGGAAAGGGAGAGGGGGGCAGGATGGGGCTCCCAGTGGGGGGAGAGGAGAAAGGGAAGGGGGGCACAGCAGGCAAAAGAAAGAAAGTGCCAGCCCGCCAGCAGAGGTGGGTAAAAGACCCGCCTCTGCTGGCGGGCTGTCCCCCTCTTCTCAAACAAGGCTGTCCTCCCTGCCTCTCCCCCTTCCCTCTCTTCTCAAACAAACTTTCTCTCAAATTGAGAGAGAATTTGTTTGAGTGAAGTGAAGAAACAAACACACATGCACACACACACACACACACAAATTACTCACAATAAAAAATTACTT